TCTGCATATTGCAGGTTGTTAATGAGTCTTCCTCCAATCCTGATGCCCTGTTCTGCTTCATATAGTCCAGCTTCTCAGATTATTTGCTCAGCATACAGATCGAATAAGTATGGTGAAAGGATACAACCCTGACGCACGCCTTTCCTGATTTTAAACCACACAGTGTCCCCTTGTTCTGTTCGAACGACTGCCTCTTTGTCTAAGTGCCCTCGCGTAGGGGAAGAGAAGCACCCTCAAGTGCTGACCTTGATTTTCTGCCCTTTGTTTTACTGGCATCTAGATTGTTGTGCTCGTGTGTCTGAGCCATGGAGCCCACAGTTGATGACCTTCAACTCGTGCCCGCTGTAACAAAGAAGCCCCCTGCCCTGGACGCCACATGCTGTCGAGCTGCCATCACCGTGGTGGTGGTGACAAGCTTCAGTGTTGTCTCCCTGGGAGTCCTTCTGGGTAAGTGGCCACAAGCTGGGTGATTGTGCAAAGACGCTGAGAAGTGCTTCAGTGGGGTTCACATGATTTTCTCAGAATCAAAGGGCTGGGGGCGTCCAAGCTTGGATATGAAGGTTGCCCTTCAAGCCACTGAAGACATGAGCAAAATGGATCGTGTGCCTGGTACACACTGTGCTCTTGGTAATACATTAGAGTGGATGGCGGTGCAGTGGCTTCCTAGGGCCACCATAAAAAGGTACCACAAGCTGGGTGGCTTAAAATGGAAATTTATTCTCTTAAACATCTGGAGGCCAGATGTCCCAAATTCAGGGTGTGGGCAGGGCTATGTTCTCTCTGAACGCTCTAGGGGAGTGTCCTTCCTTGTTTCTTCCAGCTTCTGGTGGCTCCAGGCATTCCTTGGCTTGTGGTCTCATTACTCCAACCTCTGTTCCATCTTTACATGGCTGTCTTCCTTCTGTGTCTCTGTCCTCTATCTCTTCTCCTCTTATAAGGACGCCAGTCAGATTGGATTTAGGAGCCACGCTACTCCAGCGTGAACACGTGTTAACTAATTATATCTGCAAAGACCTTATTTCCAAATAAGCTCATGTTCACCAAGTACTGGAGCTTACTCAGGGTTAGGACTTCAATATATCTTTTTGGGGGACACAATTCAACCCATAACAGTCTGCCCCCTCTGGCCCCCCCAAATTTATGTCCTTCCCACATGCAAAATACATTCATTCATCCCAGCATCTTCAAAAGTTTGAACCCATTCCAGCATCAACTCTAAGCCGACATCCAGGGGTGACGTGTGAAGCTTGATAGAGTCTCATCTAACCCGAATAAATTCACAAAGTCCCCAGCCTCAGCTTCTAGATCAACTAAATCAGGCGTCCTCATTTCCTGGGACTGCTGGAGCAAAACACCGCAAAGTGGGTGGCTTTAAGGAACAGAAGTATATTCTCTCACAGTTCTCGGGGCCAGAAGTCTGAATTCAAGGTGTCGGCAGGCCACACTCTCCGAAGCCTCCAGGGAGGATCCCTCCTTGTCTCTTTCTGCCTCTGGTGGCCCCAGATGTCCCCTGGCCTGTAGGTGGACCCTCACATGGCTGTCTCCCCTGTATCTCTGTGTCTCTTCTCCTCTCTGATGAGGATGCGGTCTTGTTGGATTAGGACTCACCTACTCCAGTAGGACCTCATGTTACATTAACGAATTACGTCTGCAAAGACCCTATTTCCAAACAAGGTCACAGTCACAGGTACCGCAGTTTAGGACTTGAACAGCCCTTTTTAGGGGACAAAATGAACCCCTAACAGATGCATGGGCTGTGAGCTATTTGCATTTTTAAGCCGTTACAAACAGGGCAGCACGGAACACTTTCTAGAATGTTCCAGCCTTGCTCTACAAGGCTGTCCAAGATGGTAGCCACAAATCCCGTGTGACTATTTAAATTTAAACCAATTAAAATGAAATAAAATGTAAAATCCAATTTCTCAGTCCCATCAGCCATGTTTCAAGTGTCCAATGGCCACACAAGGCTGTGTTACTGGACAGCGGGATCCAGGACATTTCCGTCACGGCGGAAAGGTCTAGACAGCGCTAGAGCAGGTGCTTCTGTGATGATAAGCTTCCTACGGTCTTATTTGGGGTGTTTAAATCGCCTTTCTTTTATGAAATGATGATGACAGATGGCAGCTTGGGGAAAACGGCCTCTTTTGGTAAAATAATGAGTTGGCAATCCTGTATGGGTCCCTCTGTTTATTTTTTATTTGGCTGGAGTTAGCTCGGAGCCCTGGTGGCGTAGCGGTTAAGCGTTCGGCTGCTAATCAAAAGGTCGGCAGTTTGAATCCACCAGCCTCTCCTTTGAAACCCTATGGGGCAGTTCTACTCTGTCCTGTAGGGTCACTATGAGTCAGAATCAACTGGACTTCTTGTTGTTGGAGTTAGCTCAGAATCTCTGGAGTATCCCAGATGTTGGCCCGTTTGACTGTTGCCCCCTAGTGGTTGTGACAGTCAAATGCAATACAATTTGGGCTCCAGGTGGGGTGTGAGTGTGTGTGTGTGTGTGTGTCTGTGTGTGTGTGTGTGTGCTCACAGTAGAGAGGGCCAAGGGGGCAGGGTTTCACATCTGCGCTTTAGAAGCAAAGGTACATTTTGAAAGCAGTAGATAAATATAATTCCCAGCGGGGCCCCTGAAACCGCCAGTCACCATTGGGTTGACCCCAACTCATGACAGCTCCTTGTGTGTCAGAGTAGAGCTGTGCTCCATGGGGTTTTCTTTATATTTTTTATTGTACTTTAAGTGAAAGTTTATAATTGGAGTTAGTCTCTTATACAAAAATTTATACATACATTGTTATGTGACCCTAGTTGCTCTCCCTATACTGTGACAGCACACTCTTCCTTTCCACCCCGGATTTCCCATGTCCATTCACCCAGCTCCTGACCCTCTCTGCCTTCTCATCTCCCCTCCGGACAGGAGCTGCCCATTTAGCCTCATGTATCTACTTGAGCTAAGAAGCACGCTCCTCACGAGTATCATTATATGTCCCATAGTCCAGTCTAATCTTTGTCTGAAGAGTTGGCCTCAGAAATGGTTTTAGTTCTGGGTTGACAGAGAGTCTGAGGGCCATGCTTTCTGGGGTTCCTCCAGTCTCAGTCAGACCATTAAGTCTTGTCTTCTTACTAGAATTTAAGTTCTCACCCCACCTTTCTCCTGCTCCATCCGGGACTCTCTATTGTGTTCCCTGTCAGGGCGGTCATTGGTGGTAGCCGGGCACCATCTAGTTCTTCAGGTCTCAGGCTGATGAAGTCTCTGGTTTTTGTGACCCTTTCTCTCTCTTGGGCTAATACTTTCCCTGTGTCTTTGGTGTTCTTCATTCTTTACTCCAGGTGGTTGGGACCAATTGATGCATCTTAAATGGCCGCTTGCTAGCTTTTAAGACCCCAGATGCCACTCGTCAAAGTAGGATGCAGAACATTTTCTTAATAAGGTTTGTTATGCCAGTTGACCTAGACGTACCCTGAAAGCATGGTCCCCAGACCCACCCCCTGCTACTCTGTCGCTCCATGGGGTTTTCAATCGCTGATTTTTTGGACGTAGATCTCCAGGCCCTTCTTCTGAGGTGCCTCTGGGTGGACATGAACCTCCAACCTTTTGGTTAGCAGCTTAACCATTTGCACCACACAGCAGCTTTAAGAAGCACTTCAAGTTCAATCCCTCCTCAGACAGAGCTTAAAAATCTAGCTGGAGATGCTAGCATTGAGGGAAGCTGGGTAAAGGGCACCTGGGACCTCGCTATACTGTCTTTGCAACTTCCCAAGAATCTGTACAATTCTTTCAAAAGAAAGAGTTAAAAGAAAGATAGTTTCAAACTAAAGAGTTAAAAGTTACCGCAGAGCCTGGGCAACTCGGTTTACACTACAGGAAGCTCATTTTTGTTTATTTTCAGTGTCTTGAATTTTAAAAAGTACCATTTTTAGAGCGGAAACATAAATCAAATTGGGACTCAACTCTCACAGTTGAGGTGGTTGCTGTTATTGTTAAATTATAATCATTTTCTGCTAGTGTGTGTGTGTGTGTGTGTGTGTGTGTTGACAGTTCCAGCGTATTTTAGACAGTGAGAAACTTGCATTTTCATGGTTTATAGGGTTGTTTGCTCTACTTCTGTAAGACCACAATAAAAAGCAAAAAACAAACCCATTGCCGTCGAGTCGATTCCGGCTCATGGCGACCATAAACACAGAGTAGAACTGCCCCATAGGGTTTCCAAGGAGTGGCTGATGAATTCGAACTGCCGACCTTTTGGTTAGCAGCTGAGCTCTTAACGACTGGGCTACCACGGCCACTGAGAACCCTATGGAGTGCGGTTCTGCTCTGACACGCACGAGGTCTCCGTGAATTGCAATCAACTTGATGGCAATGAGCAAACTGTATTTTTTATTTTATTTTTTTTAATTTTATGACTATTTTTAATTTTTTGCTGTTGTGTACTTTTGACCCAGTTTTTCAGACAGTTAGAAACAGGTCAAGGTTGTCATTATGGGATGCGGTCTGAAGCTACTGAAAATTATGTCCCTGCAGGAGTTGGTGTCCCCAAAGGAGGAGGTGGGAACTGTTGTCCCAAGGGTGTGGGGAGATTTTCGGAGCTCGCTTGAGCAATTACCTACTGAAGCCTGCTTCTGGCCAGGCAGGTACTGCAGATGAGACGAGCGTGAGCTAGAGTCCTCCTGCTCTCAAGGAGATGCTGGGGCTATCTGAGGGTTACAGGGCTATCTGAGGGTTACAGGGCTATCTGAGGGTTACAGGGCTATCTGGGGGTTATAAGACTACCTGGGGGTTATAGGGCTATCTGGGGGATTGCAGGGCTATCTGGGGGTTACAGGGCTATCTGGGGGTTACAGGGCTATCTGAGGGTTACAGGGCTATCTGGGAGTTATAAGACTACCTGGGGGTTATAGGGCTATCTGGGGGATTGCAGGGCTATCTGGGGGTTGCAGGGTTATCTGGGGGTTGCAGGATTATCTGGGGATTTCAGGGCTATCTGGGGGTTACAGGGCTATCTGGGGGTTGCAGGGCTACCTGGGGGTTGCAGGCCTATCTGGGGGTTGCATGATGCCTACCAGCTGCTGTGGATTGAATTGTGTCCCCAAAATATGTGTTAAAATCCTAGCCTCTATACCTGTGTTTTGTTCTGTTGTACATAGGGTCGCTATGAGTTGGAACCATGACATTCCACCCTTTGGCTCCCCAAAAATCACATCCTTGCAACATGGAAAACATATTCACCCCATCATATCATAGCAAAAGTCTTAACTCCAACTCCAAAATCCGAAAATTCTTCTTCATCTGTGAAATCTAGAATACAGGTTATCTGCTTCCAAAGGTACAATGGCAGAACAGACACAAGCTAGACATTTCCATTACAGATGGGAGAAACTGGAGGGAAAGAAGTGATAATAGGCACCAAGCAAGTCAGCAGAACACATGACATTAGCCCTCAAGGCTTTGAAAATAATCCTCTGTTCTCTGAGACAATTTACACAATGGCCCTGTCCTCCAGAGTCTAGGTATTGGCCCCAGTCTCTGGATTTTGAGTGGAGGCCCCTCGGCCCTGGGCTTCAGCTCCGCCTTCCGGGCCCACGGGGACAGCAACTCTGCTCCCTTGGCTTTAGGCGCACCATTCTCCTAGTCCATCGGAGTGACAGCTCCATCCTTAGAAACGCCAGAGGCCATGGCTCCACCTTTGAAACCCCTGAGGCCATGGCCACACCTTTTGAGCTGAAGCAGCTCGGCTTCTTGTGCCCCTTATCTCTTCAGCTTCTGCTTCCTATGGCCTCTCGGCCCTCGGGCCTCACGCCTGCAACTGCCCTGCTGGGGCAAGTGTTCCAAAGCTCAGTAGCTCCACAGGTAAGTGCCCAGGGGCACCCCACTCCGCCAGGAAGCCTCCTGCGCACAGGCACTCAGCTCTCTCGCTCCGTGGGTCGGCTCCAGCGCCGTCTCGCACTGGTCTCCTGGTTCTGCTGCTGTTGGCTCTCTGCCGCTGCCGCAAGTCTACCCACTCACAGTTTCAAAACCACTTCCACATTGTAGGTATCTGTTAGAGCAGCTCCCCACTCTCTCGGTACCAAAT